ACCCTTTCCGCGGTGAATTCACCGTGTTTGCCGGCCTCTCCGAATGCCTTAAATTTCTACAGGGATTCAAATTTTCTGAAGAAGGTGAGTATTATATGCCCCTCCGTTATGTTAATTGGAAAATGGAGCTCGTATCGTTTTCTACAGGTTTTCTTTAAGTGGATTGTTATTCAGCAAATCTATAGCGATTCATGGCTGACCCATGTTCAGGATTCTTTGCTTATAATTGCAGATATACATTACATCCGCAGCATCTTCCCGGACCACGCTGATGAGGCGTTTTTCGACTTTCTCGCCAAGCTGGACCTCTCAGGTCTCACAGTTTGGGCCATCAAAGAGGGAACTGCCGTCTTTCCAAATGTGCCCCTCCTGATTATCCAAGGTCCTCTCGCCGTGTGCCAACTGCTTGAAACACCCCTTCTCAACTTTATAAACTATGCCAGGTCAGTTAGTACAGTTTATTTCATAAGACATATAAAGGAGGTTTCCATCAAACGATTTCAACATCTTAACAGCTGTTGAATTTTATTAATAATATTAGATTGTGAATAAAATGGTAGTGAGACACAAATTTGACGTTTTCAGTTTCTTATTTCGCGTTGGTATTTCATTTTGACATTCACTTTTGTTAGGGGGACTCTCTATGGGGAGTTTCTGTCACAATGCTTCAACGTCTTTACAGATCCCAAATGATAATATTGCATTGTCAATAAATTGAAAGTGAGACACAAACCCAACTTTGCCAATTTCTTATTTCGTGTTGGTATTTCATTTTGACATTCGCTTTTATTAGAGAGCTCTCACCTATGTTTTCTCTTTATGAATAATTTGGCGCTTCAAAAATTTGAAAATCTGTATTATCCTATCAAGATGGAAAAGGCGGGAATTCGTGTCATTAACGAATATGAGATCTTAAATGAAAAAAGACAACATCACAGTCATTTCACACTATTAATACTTTCTTTTGCACTTGTATTACTACTGAGAAGGCAATATCGAATTGGCTTGCAAACTTTTGTTGTGGTGTGTTTCACATCACGCATATGCCTCACGCACGGCCACCGTCGAGACGCATTGATAATACATATTTTATGTTAACAAGAATATAGAAAAATGTGGATAAGTGGGTTCCATATTAACTGAATGAATAGCAGGAGCAAACGTCAGAACGGGTAAATGATGATGCTCTTTCCTCAAAAGATAGTCATTTGTTGAATCGAATGGTAATAGTTGATGGCAAAAAAACATAGATAAGTAAGATGACTTGTCGATCAGTTGGGTAATTGTCCTGAGCTTTCAAAAGCTTTAAGGAGTCCGTCTTCAGAGCTAAGGAGTAGCAACCAAAAGGAGGATAATTATAGGCTGTCAGAGGTCAGCTGACATCGCTCCTTCCGCTGATTCACACCCAAAACTTCTAACACCTCTAGGCCCCCGATAGCGCTAGGACGTTACTCGCGAGTTCTCCGAGTGACAAAGCCAATGATGCGGTCAGAGAGATGGAGGCTACTTCCGTGAAAAGTTTGAACTAAGTATTTCAAGGCGAGAAGTCAGGCGCGACAGAGCATTTG